CCTGTCCCTCATTTTTTATGTTGCTCTTTCATCAGTCCCCAGGAAGATTAAGATCAATTCACAGGTTCACCAGGGAAGCCACATTTAACAACCCACCTAGGGCAAAAGATTTAGGAGTTAGAACATTTATATCCCAATGACTCTCTGCCTACTCACCTAATAAGCCTATCCAGATTAGGTGAAAAATGAACCACCACCACCACCCCTGAGGACGTATATGGGGTTCTCATAACCAACTTGTTCATACTGAAGAAGCTACTTGGATAAGCACAAACCAACAAGAACTCAAGTTGCCATGATGCAACTTCCAGACAACTCTGTTTGGATGACCGAGAATCTTTACTGACACTCAGCCATAGAAATTCATTCATTTTTTCTACTAGGTATAATGCCAGAAAAACTTGATAAGCAAAGTACATATTTGATTCTACATGTGATAACAGCGGCAAGAATTATATTTGCACAATATTGGAAGAACAAAGAAATACCACCAGAAGAAGAAATAATCAAAAAAATATTCGACTGTGCGGAAATGGACAGACTTACTTTAAGGTTGAAAAAAGAAGAAGAAACAGAATATTTTCAAACTTGGGACCTATTTTATCAATGGTTAGAGAAAAGATTTAGGGATTAGGAATTTAATTTGTATTAGTGAATAAGATACTCAGACAACACGTTTTTGTTGAATAATTATTATTGAATTCTGTTAAAAAATAATAAAACTTTTTTTTAAAAAAAGAAGAAGTTCATTCACTTTGTGCCAGGCACTTGTGTAACCCAACGCATCTTGGGGGGTTACTGTTGTGGGAAACAAAAGAAGAGGGTACACCATATACAACACTTTTGAGATTCCAAATAAAAGGTGGGCTATGACTATTGAACGAATGAATAAATGATGTTTTTGAAACCATCCATCTACTAACACCTTAGTTAATATTACCTTTGTGTTCCACATGAATAAGTATCTATATATTATTTTTTCTTCAAATCCTAAAAGTATACGAAGTATTGCCAGATGGGTTACTTTTGTACTTTTTTATTCCATAGCATGATGTTTCTGTTCATTCAGTTATTGAATACAGGACTTAGGGAAGGGAGGGGAAAGTTAAAAGAAAAGTAAGGGCTTTTCTTTTTAAGTTGAAATGTATTGCATGATAATCAAAACACTTCTGGAGAAGCCAACTTAATCCACCCAATCCTTAAAAATTACTTAAAAGTACTTTCCTTCCAGCTGCCGTCAAAAGGCTGTCAATTATAATCCTGCGGAGAAGATGGAATTTCTTCTGATTATGAATGGTGAGTCTGCTTCTTACCGATAATACAAGATATACATTTGTTTTAATCAAGTTCCAAAAAGAATTGTGAAACAAGAAATCCTTTTCATATACATGTGGATTTGGCAACAAGTGAAAATGGCTAGTTTGTCTTGATGCTAAGTTGATAAATGCAGAAGTGAATCACCTTTAACCACACAAGGTTAAAAGATTCAAAAACATGGATTCTGTTTAAAGAAAGCACATGTTTGGAATCCTGATAATATTAAAGGTCTTCCAGCTCATACTAAGGAGACTCAATGCATTCATTAGCCAGTAGTCTTCATTTTTTCCAGATGCAGAACCTTCAACTCCAATATAGGTTTTATTATTTGAGGCAGGAGGGGGCGGTTTTGCCAGATGTTAGTTTTTCCTCTCTCTTATTTCTTTCTCTTTTTTCTACTTTCTTTTTCTCACCCATCTTTATTCATCATTCATATATTTAGTGTTTTACAGAAGAAAAAAGGGCACTTAATTATTTAAATTATTTATTGATTAATATTTTTATTTATTACATTATTTCTGTAGCACTACCTTATAGAAAATCTGAAAGCACTTTACAATAACCATTCAATAATATATACACCAATATTTCCTGTTATAAATTTTGATTTTCTGATTGATTTATTTCTTTTTTAAAGAATTTTAAAGAAGATAATCCAATATGAGAATTGAAGATTATTTTCAAAATGTGACACTATTGTAAGACACATTCTCTGTGTAAGCAGTATATTGCTACAGCATACTGGAATTGTTAATGGATGGACTTTCTTACAAAAGTTTCTTTGTTTTCACTTATCTTTCGGTCTATAGACAGACCTCAGAAACATAGCTTCAAGTTTGTATCAGAAAGGGCCATTATGTAATGTAATTATTTTAATGAATACTATTAAACAAGATACAGATTTGCACTAAATTGAATTTTGGCAGATTATTTGCTCCATTTGTTTTCCTCATGCTGACACAGCAATCTTCCTTTTCTCTATTTTAAGGCCTGTTAAAAAAATTTTTACTTAAATAAAAAAGTCATCTCTTCAAAAAACAAAAATCCTTTTAAATATTTCAGTATGTGATTCAAGCAACTGGAATTAGACTTCCATTAATCCTATGAGTTTTAACTGATTCAATTGATAGATCAGCAACTAAAGTTTCAACAGTAGATTAAAATATAATTCCTTCCCCAAATTTTCAGTGGGAATAAGATAACAAGAAACACCTCTCTGGAGTCTCCAAAATATACCAGCTTTCTTTTCCCTATTCCATTTTGGATTAAGGAGATATTTAAAAGAACTGTAAATGTCGGCTTAGCCAAATAGAGACAAGGGATAAGGGGGGAGGAATCAAGATTGGTTTATCTCGATTCTACTTAGTAAAAGAAGAAACTGAGAATCTTTACTAGACCTTCAGGATTTTGTATTATATCCTATATAATAATAAAGTAGAGTTCCAATGGTACATGTGATGTCTGTTTCCTGACCTGTCCTACCTTAAAAGGGTGACAAAAACTCAGGTGGAGGTTGGCACCTGAAGGCAACGTTATCTGTTCCTACACTCTCAAAATGAAATATGAACTGTTCCTCTGCAAGTGGTCCTAACTCAATGAGAATGAGTCAAAAGGAAGCATTTGCAAGACATATCATTTTTCTCTTCTTTGTACTACCCTGGATAACAAGAAAACTAAAAGATCCTCCACAGTTTGGAATCAAGCTAAAAGAAATGTCATTTTTCTATTTTACATTCAAAGATCCCATTTTGTCTTTGCAATGATTAACCGCATTTGCTTATACCGACAATCTGAAATTAAAATACTGTACTAGAGAGGTGAGGCCATGATCCATGGCATCCAACAACTTGTAGCCCATGCAGTGTGTGACCTTTTATACTATTGGTGTTCTGGTTCTTTGGGAAGCTTGGCAGACCGAACTTTGGGAATTAAACATATTATTTTGGCTGGAACACTCTCTAACCATCTTACTTCACAAATCAGTTAGACATATAGCTCAATGTAAATCAAGAACTCAAAACTACTCTTCAAATTAGTGAGTCATGAACATGCCTCTATCCTTAATTGCTTTAATATCTGTGAATATAAAGGTAAGATGTACACTTATAATTACAATCAATGATTGTAACTTTGCAACTAAGAATCAGACGCACATCTATTTAATTGTTTTGGTTGTGTGCCACCCAATTCCAAACAACTCTGGATGGTTCACAATACACTAAACGTTATAATACAAAACAAGAACCAAAAAAACTCAAATCAAAGCAGAAAAAAGAGAAAAAGAACAAGACGGTGAATCTTACCGATACACCAAAACATTTCATCTAACATTCAACAGAGGGGGCGCCAGGCACTAAAGCCCATGGCCTAGGAGAACAGCCAGCTCTTTATGGCCTTTCTTTATTTGGACTACAGCATGATCATCAAAGTATTTAAGCCACATGTTACCAATGTAGGCCCCATGGCATATATGGCTTATTTAAATGACATAATCAGATGTCAAAAAAATAAAAATCATTAAATGACTGAAAATTTGCAAGAGTGAAAAACTGAATGAGAGTTTGGCATTCCTATCAAAGTTGTCTAACCAGGCATATGCCGGTTACAAATGTAGTAAGCAACCACCCACAGCATCTTTGCCCAGGTTACAAGATGGAACCACTAGATTAAATTAAATAAACTGGAAGCAGCTCAGTGGGCTTTTCAATATTGGACTTAAAAATTTGCTTTATGTTTTATATTGGTTTATAATTCCTTATAATAGCACAAGTGTGAATGACATGAACAGCAGCTTAGGTAAAAATTGCTTGCCAAAAGAACACATTTTAATAAATGCTTTATCTAAAGTAATGGACACTACTAGGCAGATATGAAAACAAAAAGACTCAGCAAAGCATCTGGAGAGAATTAATACAGTTTATACTATTATAAGAGACTACTTTCTAAATCTCATCTGCTAAATAGATGTCTGCAGAACCAAGATCAATTTAAAAGATCCATATGGGTTTGTTCCAACCAGCTACTCTGGGATGATAATATTTATACTATTGTCATAACAGCTGAAAGTTTGATCCAAACTGGACTCAGATTAAAAGTATCTTAAATAAAATCTTTCCTCATCTATGGCCTTCATTTATTTTTTCCTATGTCTGCAGAATTCTTTGCTCTACAGATTCTCAGTTCTGAGAACCATCCAAATTCATTCATCCTGAAGCAAAGACACAGTACTACTGGATTTTCCTACACATATGAAGAGTGTAGAAGTGACTGCACACCTGTCAATGAACCCCTTGAGAAAGGCAATGGCTGGATTCTATATGGTTTCTATGGTGGTGACATTGTAGTTACCTGACTTTGATACACTGATGGAAATGGAAATGAATTCTTTTTTCAAGCGCGAATGTAGAAGGAAAGTGTTACTTGAATATACAGTATACATAGTGACATCTAGATTTGGTTGTAGTTTCTTGGCCTGATGTTCCTTGAGAAATTAGTCTCCAAAGGTATAAATATTTTAACAAAGTGCCTCTATGTCAAATACCTGTGACACTTCTTCCATACCTTAACATACCTTAACCATGTCATCCAAAGAGATACATTGGAAAAGTAGTTATTGCAGAAAAGTCTGCTGGTATTTAAACTGCTTTTAAGAAAACTTAAATGGTATAGATGATGTCACTAACCTTCATATATGGTGATGATATGAGGATGGCTAAGAGATGACATAATTTCAATCTCCCGTCTGATGTGAATCATATCTTGTTCATCCTTAATTTTGTCCTTACGGATGGATTTTATTGCAACCTATAAATTCAGGAAATTGATCATTACACTTAAAGTACATAAAAGTAATCTATAAGGAGAGTTCAGAAAATAAATACAGATGGTTGATGCTGGTAAAACATGGAATGAGCAAAATAATTTTTTAAAATATATACCAGTGGTGGCGAACCTATGGCATGGGTGCCAAAGGTGGCACTGAGCCCTCTCTGTGGGCACGCGCACCGTCGCCCCAGCCCTAGGCCTTCAGCTGGGTTTTATAAAACCTTTTTGCTTTAGGCCTCCGCTGCCGTGTGCAAAAAAAAAAAGGTTCAATCAATCTGTCAATTTCAACTTCTCGCGGGGAAAAAAAAGATCTTGCAAAGTTGAAATTGATTGATTGAACTTTTTAGTCCCACCCACTCTGCCATTACCACCGCAGTCACGCCCACTCAATGGGCCACACCCAGCCAATAGGCCACACCCAGCCAATGGGCCACACCAACCCGGCACCCGACGATGCATAAGTGGGTTTTGGGCTGCAGTTTGGGCACTCGGTCTCTAAACGGTTCGCCATCACTGATATATACTGATATTTTTCACTACTGCATTATGCCAAATATCATCCACAGTAGAAAAGACAATAATAGCAGACTTGTTTTAGTTATTTATTTCTTTATGATTATATGCCCCAACCAGTAAAACACACTTATAAGATGCTTGATTATTGTACTGATACCATGGCTTCTTGTGTTTCTTCAAGGCATATATGCAAGTGAAAAAATAATAAAAAATCAAATGAAAGTTAAGTTAAATTGTGCAAATTTTCACTTCAAAATTAAATATTGGAAGTTTCCTGGTTAGGCTAAAATTCTTTTTTTATTATTATTGTTGTTACTGTCTAATTTCATACAGAAACTACAGTATAACAATTTTTTTAAAACCTAAGACATGAACTCGTGATATATTCCATCAGCTATGATTCCAGAAGAAGCTGATAAACTCTTACTTGCTATATTGCTCTCTGAATCCTGAAGTTCCATATCTCCCAAAGCACTTAGTAATCACTCAGTAACCATACCCTTCCTGCATCCTTCCTTAATCATCTGAGTAGACACCTTTCAAAAAACAAAAACCACCCCCATGGGAACAGAGGAAACAATAGCCAATCCTTTATCATAATTGGGCAGTCATGGGAATATGTATTACATGTCAGAGGCAAGAATTTAAAGGCTACCAAGATCAAATTGGGCAACATGCGGACATATGAACCATCCATATTCAGAATGAATAAACTTCTGCCTCTATATACCTATAATTTCCTTTAAAATACAAGATGCGAGTTTTGAAAGCATAGATATGCAACAGCTGAATCATTTTAATGCTTAGTATTTTGATTTTTATGATATAATTATTTGTCAATGCTTCCATCTGCTTGATAATCAATATTATCTGGTTCAAAATATATGACTTTTCATTCCACAATATTATTGAATAATAGTCCTTTTTAAACATATATCATTAAGTCTTATCTTTAAGTTAAAATGTAGGAAACTTTCTATTAATTTCATTTATGTAATTTTAGTTTTTACTATCAGCTACTAGAAGATAGAGGAAAGTACATAAAATGCTATAAAATGTAATTTAATATACATTATTATTTTTAAAGGCTGATTCTGCATGCTATTTCACAAACAATACAAAATATTTTGTGAATAACTATGGAGTTATTATTCACATACTATGAAACAACAGTTTTGTTTAGAGACCATTTGGTTTACTATTTGATTTACTTAGGAATAGAACTATATTATTTTCAAATAAGTAATTTATTTTATTTAGGTGGAGAATATGAACAAAATGTTTCCATCCTCCTGCTGCAATGCCAAATTATTTTAGTTCTTGCCCCTGAACAGTAAAGTCCATCATCACATTTTAAAAAACAAGATTTCAAAGATTTCGTGCATAAAATCTCTGTTCTTCTAGAAAAGAGGGTAATCATCATGTTCCCCTATATAATATAAAACTTATTATATTTCTATATTCTTTTTATATCATGACTTTAATCTGAGGGATCAGCTCAACAGTCTTACTGTTAATAAAGCTGAATGTAATTTTAAATATGTATTTTAAAAAGAGAGAGAGGAGCAAATCCTTGAGCAATTCCTGAGGGACAGAAAGCAGCTTCAAGTGTTCAGAAAGGTCTGGTTTTTCTTTTTCTTTCATTCTGTTCTGTGGGAGAGGCTGTGAAAGTGCATATATGCTAAGCATGAAAAAAAAAAAGCATGTGGGTGGCTTTTGGATCCACACATGCATTCCTAAGGAAAAAAATAAATATAGACATTGATTTAAAAATATGTATAGCATAGAATAGTTCTGTATTTGGTTCTCAGAAAGAATGTTAAGAGGATGTTATTGTCAAACATAGAAAAGAATAAATTCTTCACCATTTTGGGTCAGCGAAGCAATCATACCACATAGGGAAGGGAATATATTTGACAAATAGGAGACAACAACATAAATTGCACGCAGTACAAAGCTCTAAGCCTGAAAAACAGAGTATAATTTTAGAATAAAATTAATAAATGTTCCTTCCAATCACCTATTTTAATTCAGATCTAAATCTCACGAACAGTTGCTTTACAAATAGACCTTGACTTACAACCACAATTGGGACTGGCATTTCTGTCACTAAGTGATGCAATCATAAAGCAAGACGTCACATAGCTTCCTTGCACCCTACCTTGCAACTAGCAAAACACACACACACACACACACACACACACACAGGGGGCTCATGCTGCAGGGTGGTGAGGGAGGCTAGGATTGACCTGGGGTACCTGTAGCTTCCCAAGGCATGCTGAGCTGCCCCAGAGCTGCACTGTTCTGGGGCTGCTTGAGAGCTTAACCTGCACCCTGCAGCATGAGCCCCCTGTGACTTTTTTCTTTTTCACACCATGAAGCCAGCCCCAGCCTCACTCAGGCGCTCTTTCAAAAGGTCTGGGGGCTTTTTCCTTCATTTTTTTTCTTTTTCACAATGCAAAGTCAGCCCCAGCCTGACCCAGGAGCCAGGCTGGGCATGTCTTGTCAGCAGCAGGAGCAAGAATACAGCGAAGATCAGCTGGGGCGGCAGAGCACTGGACAGCAGGGGACCAAAAGTGCCCAGATTGGGGGAAGAGATAGGCAGGCGGAGGCTGTTGCAGTCATAAAATTGGGCAGGCTGCCAAGTACCCAAAACTTTGATCGTGTGACCATGGAGACACTACAACGGCCATAACTTTGGGCATTGGTCATAAATCTTTTTGTTTAGTACTGTCATAAATTTGAACGGTCGCTGAACAAATAGTCATAAGTCAAGGGCTACCTGTACACTCTTTCTTCAGAAGCATACTTCAATATATTACAATGTTAAAGAGCTACTGTTCAATTTATAAAACATTAAAATTGCTTTAGTTATTAATATCAATCAAAATAAGTACAAATATAAAAAGCTATAATGTAAAAAGGTTTTCCTTCCTGGCCTTTATTGTAGGAACTGATTGACAACTGCAAATCAGGTTGTCATGAGGAGGTTGTCGCTAGCCTTCTTGGAGATGACGGGGATTGAAATTGGGACTTTCTACATACAAAGCTGAAAGTCATCCAGTACTGGATAAATGTAAGTACCAACTCTGAAGAGGAGGAGATTTTTTTCTCCTTTAAATGATTAACACAGTCTTTGGATGGGATTCAATGAAAAAAAAACCCCATCTTTTGGATTGCTAAATATCAAGTCATTTAGATTTTTCGAAGGTAAGCACTACCTAACTGAAATAAGCTCAGAACAACAACTTATTGGCTACTGGTTTAAGAGACACTGAAATGCGTTTCTCCCAAACTAGTGAAGTTTGAGAGAAATCTTCAAGGGCGGCACTATGTATAACCACTCAATATGTACAAGATTATAAGAGAGTGGGGCAAATCCAAATGATGTTGTTCCATAACTCAATGAGAGTCAAAATGGTATCTCAAAAATATTCTGTATTTTGACCATAAACTTTAGTAAAGCTTATCTTTCAAAGTTTCCTCTCTTTCTTTTTCTGTCCCTTTCTCTCAAAAGTTGGCTTATTCATGGGTGGGCTTATAGATGAATATATATATGATATTATTGCTATTTTCTTATTATGTGAAAGTAGAAAGTAAACATAATAATAGTAAACTATCTACCGGCTGTTTATATATATCCCAAAAAAAACAGGGAGGAGTCTATTGCTGTAGACCAGGGGTAGGTAACCTTGGCTCTTTTATGACTCGTAGACTTCAATTCCCAGAATTCCTCAGCCAGCAAAGCTGGCAAAGCTGGCTGAGGAATTCTGGGAGTTGAAGTCCACGAGTCATAAAAGAGCCAAGGTTGCCTACCCCTGCTGTAGACCATTCCTCTTGCTCTCTTTGAATGTCTATTTTACTGTGAATTAAGACCTGAAAAACATGTCTGTTTCAATCTTAAGTACTGTATGTCAGATTACTAAAGAGAACAAAGTAGAATATTCCTGAATTTATCGCTTTTGGGGAAAAAAAAACCCAGGATACATGGTAGATGGACAGATTTCTGAGCCGTGATAGCGCAGTGGTTAGAATGCAGCACCGCAGGCTAACTCACTGCTCACTCCAGGAGTTCAATTCTGAGCAGCTCAAGGTTGATTCAGCCTTTCCATTCTTCCAAAATGAGGACCCAGATTGTTGGGGGCAATATGCTGACTGTAAACCACTTAGAGAGGGCTGTAAAACACTGTGAAGCGGTATACAAGTCTAAGTGCTATTGCTATCTCTAGGAAATTTGGATTTATTTATTTTAATTTATATGGTCAGCCATCTCAAGTCATGACACCAGGCAATTAACAATGTTGAAAGAAAATATAGAAACATAAAAAACAAGAAAAGAAAAAAGCAATACATGTGAAAGCAGTAACCGGGAGTAAAACAATCATAAATTAATGGAACGGATGGACATACTCAGCCCCACTTCCTGACCTCCTGGTCTGGTGACATAACCAAGTCTTTAAGAC